GAGCGAGCGCCGCCGTCAGTGGGGTTGGGGGGGAGGGCTGCTCCCGGGGTTTCTCTAGGTTTTCTTTCCCCGTAGGAAAAATCCTTTCCTCCCCGCGGAAACCAGCTGGGGAAGCCCGCGCGGAGGTGCCACACGTCCGGGATGCCGACCCCCAAAGGCAAGGAGTTCGCCCAAAATCTCCCGGTAAGGCCGGGCGGAGAGGTCAGGCTGGGGTCTCCTTGGAGGGCTGGCGGGGTCTCGGGTGCCCCCGCCCTGTCCGTAGCCAAGCAAAGGCGAAAAAGTTGCCCCTGCCCTCCCCTTCCCCCCCCACCGGCTGACCCCTAAACTGCTCGCCCGAAAAGGTGGGCACAGTTGGTCTTATGTCTCTGGTGCCTCCCAACAGGTTTGGGGTGAAGTAGCTGTAAGTATTGACCCCCAAGCAGCTGCAGATCTGGGATGCTGCATAAGAAATCACCATTTTGTTCTGTTCAAACAGATGAAAATGGTTAAAAGTCCTCAGTTCAAATTTACTATGATAGTTGCCCTAGTATTTCATCCAAATGACAGACAGGCACCCCCTTGATTTTGTTGTAGCAGTCCGCATGAAACACAAACTTAGCAAACTGCGAATGTGACAGGTAAGCTTGATGAATCAGTTCCACTGCAAGCTATAAAAAACAATCAGTAGAAAAACACAACAGTCATTATCTCTTTGAATCTGTAATTAGGTAAGGGGAAAAAACAGCAAATTGTTTTAGACATGCCATGGCAAAGGGGAAATCCCAAATCAGCTTTGAGAAAAGCAGTAACAGTTTCTTATCTACTTATCTAACAGACAGAGGAAAATCGGAGATTGCAAAGCCAAGGATTCAGCGACAGAAACCTTTGCCTCTAGCAGGGGACAAACTTGGACAAATGTTACTATTTAGTCACCTTGCTCTTCCGTTGTGATGCTACAAACAATTTTGCCCGAGGCGTTTAGAAACTCACCTTGCAGCGTAATGGAAAACGTAGCCTTACCTGCTTTAGAAAGGTTTAATCTTTCAACCTTGTTTCTGAACTTAACCTGCAAGAGAACTCTTATGGCCATATAGTTTCTCTTAGAGAAGAAGCTATCCTGACCACCAGACACTTTTAGAAGCGTCTGCAATGAGTGTTTAACTGACATAGCTATAACCACTGCAGGCGTGAGGAAATATCTGTATTTCCATACCAATAAACTTCGAAGTCTGGATGAGGGTTCTTGGGTTCAGGAGATACCCAGGAATTACTGATAACTTCTTCAGTAGAAAATAACTTTAACAGGAGTGCCACCACTTTGCTAACGCTAATGTATTCCACAGTCTTAGGTATTATAGAGTCTAGGAGTCTAAGAGAGTTGAAAGGAAGCCACATAAAAACATTTGGTTTTTCCCTTTCTTATATCTAGGCAAATAACCAGACCTGGAGTGCCCCTCAAGTTCTGAATATTTGAAAACTACTGAATTGCACAGACAAATCTTTAGCCTGCCCAGATTTCAGTGAGACTGTCCAACAGCATTCATATGATCTGCACACTAACAGAAAAATCTTTTTTGTTTTTAATTTATAAGAGAGAAGAGCTGACACACTTGATACTGAAACTCTTGCAAGCCTGGAAGGAACCACTTTCTCACTTTAACCAGCATTTTGAGCACCATCAAGAGTTATCTGATGACAGCCTTAGCAAAGCTAAGCAAATCAGCAATATGGTACATGAGCTGAAGACGGGAGTTGAGAAAGTAACAGAAAAGGCAAGATTTTTCAGTGTAGCTCCTATTCATATCAGTCATGATATTGTGGCATCAGTGACTTCTGGGGGCTAATGTCTGCTCTCACTTAGGCTATAACCCGAATATGAAATGAGGCTCTGATTCAGCAATGGACTTAAGCCTGGCAGCTCTTATTCAAATTGCTCAACACCTCCAATCCATTTGAAAAGTTTTTTAGTAAAATAACAATATTCTTCCATTCTTTCATGTTCCTGGAGTCCATGGCAAAAAGTCATGCTAACAAAATATAGTGGACTCTGTTATAGATCCAATTTTTTCAGCCACAGGATGTGACTTAGTTTATGGAGTGACAGAGATGTAGATCATTTTAATATTTTATTGATATGAAATATATGAAAGAGATATATAAGTACCAAGAGTAGGACCATTTACAGTTTCATATATGAGCCAGTATGGACTTAAATTTCTAGGACAGTAAAGGAGATGTGGGTAGACCATGACAAATACTGTTTTCAATTTTTCTGATTCAATTCCAACTAATTCAAGTATCACTGTCTGCTGCAAAGAGCTCTTTCCTAAAGTAACAATTTTATGGATAAGTTCTTCAAGACACAAGACAACGATGGCACCGGATGAGGTTGACCTTCGTTTGCTCCATTCTATAGCCCAAGTCAGCCATAAAATTCTAAACTAACTAGACAGTTATGGTATATTTATCCTGTCTATCCCCCCTCGCCCCAAATACCATTTCAGGCATTACTAAAAAGGAAAGCTCTCCAAAGTATGGCAGGTATGTCCATTTTGACCTGTATGTACTATGGACATGCCAAACAGTAGGAATGTAATTGAAAAAAAAAAATCAAACGGGAGCAATTTGAATTCCCGTATTTTGCAGCTGTATTTTGCCGTAAGGCACTAATTCTAAGCTTGATTCTGTTTTGAAACCAGCACGCCTGAGAGGTGGAAATAGTCTTCACATTTCACCAAGTTAAACAGTACTGGGGAATGCTCAAGTTAGAAGCTTCCCTTGACAAAACTCATTAAAATACATGGCTGCAAGTCTAGAGACTGATTTGCTGTAATACTTTGAAAGGTAATAACTATTATCAAACAGTAATTCCTACTTAAATTCAAATGGTTTTATATTTGTGAACATAAGGCCAATATTCTTGCATTACTAGCATATCAGATCATTTCAGGCTAATCTTCAGATTGCGTAGGCAACTGCTCAAGGAAAATGCCATGTTATCTCTCTGCAAGGAGCTTTACACACCTTCAGTAGATACGTGAATAGTCCAGAATAGAACAGCCTAACATAAGGATGAATCAGTTGATTTCAGCACTAGTATTTTAAAGATTTTTTTCTTCTATGTATAGTTATTTGTCAAACTGGTTTACCCTCATAAAACACCATGTACAGTTCTCCTGTTTTCAATACAGATGCAGTCAATGGGGATCATCAGCAATTCATTACATGGAATGGCATCATCTGAAGCAGCTGGTTTATCCATTAGTAATGAAGCAAACCTGATGAGTGACTCTGACTTTATTCATTGTTTCAGGAGAGACTCCAATAAAGTACGAAGCTACTTAAAAATTCTTAAATGTAGAATTATGCCAGAAAATAGTTGCTGAGCTTTAGTCTCTTGACAGAGAGTTTTCAGGAGCAGAATTAGATGTTGTTTGTAAAAAGGGAAAAATATAATTTATAAATTATCACATTTACAGTAATTATAAATTAATAGGAAAGTGGTTGTGAAATGCTTTGGCAGCTACTTGACACTGTTAACCTATGCAGTTGAAATATTAAATAAAGCATAATGTGTGCATGTGGCTTAACACACCAGATAAAACAGAGTACTCTAGCAGTAGATAAATGAATGTCCTTGCTTATTACACTACGACAAAGTACATTATGGCTGGTTCACACAGTTTAGATATGCACAGAGTTGAAAGTGAAATTCAGTTTGTTAAATCTTGGTAAAATACATCTCTAAATTATAAATAAAGTATATTTATGTTACTTTTTCCCCCAATTTATTGCCTACAGAATATTGCCTAACACTGAAAAGTGGTACTGCTGTTGATCAGTTCTGAAGTAACTGAAGGCCTTATGGTAGACTTTCTTTATGTTCATGTGACACTTTTTATTAATTTCTACATGCTTTCACATGCGTCCTATAAGCTCTAGATTTTAGCACTTCTATTTGTGTTGGAGGTTCTTTTATACCTGTAATAGCATCACTGATTTCACTGGAAACTCTTAAAAGGAAAAGTTTCTTTATGAAAGGTAAATCAGAATTCTGGTCTAAGTACTTCAGTTTGAGGGTTGAGTATGGCTGATGCAGCAATAAGTCTCTGTTTCCCATAGCACACCCTGACACAGGGCTTGGGCTTTACAGTAATGACGACATGAACTCCATAGCAAAAAAAAATCTGAAATGTCAGGGATTTTTTTTAACAATCACAGTCGGGTGCTGCTTACTGCTGTCTTTAGGACTACAGGACAAAACAACACAGAATTGCAGAACAGTTTGGGTTGGCAGGGACCTCTGGAGGTTACCCTGCTCAAGCAGGGTCACCTAGAATAGCTCGCCCTAGCCTGTGTCCAGATGGCTTCTGAATATCTCCAAGGATGGAGACTCCATAAACTCTCTGGGCAATCTGGGCCAGCGCTCAACCACTCTCACAGTGAAAAAGTGTTTCCTTATGTTCAGGTGGAATTTCCTGTGTTTCAGTTTGTGCCCGTTGCCTCTTGTCCTGTCACTGGGCACTGCTGAGAAGAGTCTGGCCCCATCCTCTTGACACCCCCCCCTTCACATACTTAAGCACATTGACAAGATCCCCCTGAGCCTTCTCTTCTCCAGGCTGAACAGGCCCAGCTCTCTCAGCCTTTCCTCATATGAGAGATGCTCCAGTCCCTTAATCACCTTAGTAGCCCCCTGCTGGACTCTCTCCAGTAGTGCTATGTCTTGTACTGGGAAGTTCAGAACTGGACCCAGCCCTTCAGATGTGGTGGCCTCACCAGGGCTGAGGAGAGGGGAAGAATCACCTCCCTCAACCATCTGGCAATGCTCTTCCTAATGCAGCCCAGGATACCATTGGTCTTCTTTGCCATGAGGACACATTGCTGGCCCACATTCAAATTGCCCACCAGGACCTCCAGGGCCATCTCTGCAAAGCTGTTCTCCAGCTGGTTGGCCACCAGCATTTACTGCTGCATACGGTTATTCCTCCTCAGTTGGATGATTTTGCACTTCCCTCTGTCCACCTTTCCAGCCCGTCAAGGTCCCTCTGAATGGCAGCACAGCCCTCTGGTGTATCAGCCACTCCTCCCAGTGCAGTATCATCTGACAACATCTTTGCATCCAGATTCTAAATGAACATTTAGAATCGACTTCATTGATTTATTTTTAATACTCTTGATTATTTGATCCCTGACAGTCTTGCAAGTGCTAGACTACCAAAGATTTTCCCCATGGTGTTTTCATTTACATTTGCAAGTCTGAGGCCATGCTAGGAATGCAGCTACACATTTACTGTGGGGAAACTTAAGAAATATCAAGAGATGACTCAGAACAGAACAGAACAACAACTTTCTGAATTATGTGTTAGCTCCCAAAATCTCTTCCATAGCATAGACAGTTACTTTGTCCAGTTAGAACTGCAAACGCTTAACAGTTCAGCCAGCATTTTCTCCACACCTGAACTTTCAGATAAGTAGAAAAGTTCTTATTTCCAGTAGCATAAATGTAAATCATGCTATTTGCTAAATGTTCATTCCAAAATTAGGAGAGGGGCATGTTCAGGCAATGTAGGCGCACCAGTGCTTAAAATAAGAGGAAGTAAGCTGCAGTACTAGTGTGCAGTTTATCTGGCCGTGTGGTTTAATTTTCTTCTTCTCGCAGGGCCCACAGCAGCCATTTGACTTCCCGTACCCTCACCTTCATCTGCCTCTTGTCTTTCCTTGTTCTGCATTGTGTAGTTGATGGGGTAGTACATGCAAGTTTGGTCTAGTAATTAAATCATCTGTGATTGCGGACATATATAGACAGAGTAGACAACCCTCTCTTTTCTGGCCTCCTCTAATCGTCTTAATGGTTGTTGACCTGAGCTGGAGCTCAGGCTGCCAAGAACGGAGGGTAAAATTGCTGATGATTACTTAATATTGACACTGGATTTGGGCTTGACAAACTGAGAGAGCAGGAAAATATTTCAAAGAAACCTTTATGGAGAACAGAGGAAGAACAAAGGAACATTTTCACTCACTTCTCCATTTCCATCATCCTGTCTAAGAGACATATTTTTCCAGCCAGAAGCTGTGACTGTTCACAGTTCATATCTGGTCCCTCTTGTTCCAGGTACGGTAGAGATGCACTAGACTAGAGGTGGACTAGATGGTACCTGCCCTAAAGAGGTTACCAACTGTAATTTCTTAGACAGTAAGATACAACATACAAGTAAGAAAATATCAGCATTAATATGCAAATTTTGAAGAAATTCTGGAAACTAAACGCATATCCAAATGATTCAAATAAAGGAAGGTCTCCTCTGGGCAAATGGTCAGACAGAACCAGAGAGGGTTGTCTACTCTGTCTATATATGTCCGCAATCACAGATGATTTAATAATAAGTAGTGATTATTCACAGTATTCATTTCTGTCAGCCACATAATCTGATTCTGAACACAATTCACAGGTATCACATCTATGTTCTGCTTTACCTCAGGCAGGTAGGAAAACTGGTCATTAAAAATATTGTATCCACGGGTAAGTACAGACCATTTATACCGCCATCTCATCCCACAGTACGTCGGCACTGTAATGCGCTGTGTCCGGCGTGTGTATCCCGTCTCGGTATGGGATTATTCCTGTCTCTGAAAGGCTGGAACTGGGAAAATGCACATTACCTAAGCAGGAAAAAGCGCTAGGATATCGTCCCTACACTTTCCAGCAAAGGCGGTGTTGCTCGGGAAAGGTCGGTAACAGGCAACCTGCATCCCAAACAAAAGCTAACAGATAGGGGAAGGGTATTCACGCAAAAGGAAACCGCTGGAAGAGGAGCATGGGGAACAGGTCTCGGAGAGGAAGGGCTTGGTACCAGCGTGTCAGCTAGGAAAGGAACTGTTTCTGCTACTTTGCTCCGACTGAGTCTTTTGCAGAGAGTATGCGCGCTGTCTGACATGTCACAAGACTGCTTCTACTAAACGACACAGCCCAAAGAGTCAAACGAAAGGAGGGGACGGGCAAGAGGGAGGCAATCGCGCCCCGGCCAAGGCAGGCCCAGGTGCGGGTTGGGGATATGGGGGAGGAGGGGAAGAGGAGAGGAGAGGGATGCTACACTCCCAGCCGCGGCCCTCGACCTTTCCTCTCGCCCGAGGCGATGCCCAGGACAC